CGCAGCTAACGAAACTCGTCAGCATCTGTTCTTCGATTGCAGCTTCAGTGGCGAGGTTTGGTCCTTTTTCACATCTCGCGCTCGTCTTTCATCGCCTGTTCGGTTTGAAGATGGTCTGAGATGGATGAAAGACCCTACTCCAAATGGCAACATTGTTCTCATCATGAAACTGGCTTACCAGGTATCTCTTTATGTGATATGGAAGGAGCGTAACAACCGTCTGCACTCTTCTACCTCTCGCCCAGCCTCCGCGATCGTCTCTGACATTAGCACCACCCTTCAAAGCCGGCTCGACCCGCTATCTCGAGCGCAGAGAATTCCTCCGTCGACTGACTCATATCTAACTTCTTGGTTCTCCCTGTTTGGGGATTAGTTAGTTTTGTCGCAGGTTACATGTAATTTTTTGGCCTGTAGTTGGATACCGGGTTGTAACCTGCCGTTTGGCTTTGAAATGAATGGAAATATGTTTCAAAAAAAAAAAAAAACAAACAAACGCTACTTAGGCTTACTTTCCTGATTGGATCTATAAGGATCTTGAAAATGGAGAGCAAACATGGATATTTGGTGATGAAAGAACTGAAGAGGAAAAGGAGATTGCAAAGAAGATAAATGTACATTGGTCTCTGGTGTATTCAACTGATGAACAGAGTACTCGAAAGTCAAAATGATGGAAAGAAGTTTAAATGCTTTTGAAGCTCTACCTAAGCTTTCTATATTGCATATCCCCACTAGGATTATTCCCAACTCGTTTTCGCTTTCTGATGATGGAGAATTGGATAAAAATTCGAAATGTTGATAGATCTTAGCATGAAAATCAAATATTATTAAAAAAATGAGTAAATCTAATTCAAATAAAATATGAAAATTCAATTCATCAAAGAAAAAAAAAATATATATATATATAGCTATACAATAAAGAGTGAACATATTCAAATAGGAGTAGGAAAAACCAAATATTTGGAAATATGAGACAAACTTTATTGAAAATTAAATTATAGAAAAAAGTAGAGAATCTATATATGTCAAATTTTTTCAAAGCCAAAAAAAAAAGTTAGGTTTTCTCTCTTCTCATGCTCTCACCTTATTGTTTGCATGTCAAATTTTAATTAGTTTTTTTAAATATCATTTCAGTTATTAAGACGTCAAAAAAAGTCATTTTAGTTATTTTTTTTGTCAACAATTGGTTTTAATTACATAAATAAGATCATTAATAAATAAATAACATTTTAGTTTTAACAATTACACAGTTTAGTTTAACAAAAAATAATTACACATTTTATTTTTAACAAAAAATAAATCCATTGCTATCAACCCCATTAACCACATTATTTTTAAATTTATTAAAAATTAATTTCTGTTGGTATATGTGGTAGAGAGTATAATATAAAACAAAATTTGATATATTTTATGATTAATTTTATATTTAATAAATAAAATTATATAAATATATATAAAAAAATTAAGATTGAGTATATGAAATCATAATGTCTATTTTTAAGTAATTAATAAGCTATACTTACTTATATACAACAATTCAAGACAAAAATTTCAATAATGAAAAACACTCAAATCATATACACTGTTGGACTAGCAAAGCACCGAGTATTTCGATTATAATTTGATCACTTCGTCTACTATCAATGTTCATTCTACAAATACTAGAATACTCAATACTCACGCCAATCACCAAATCTACTGTTATGTCAGTGTACAATCGATTTTCTATTCTTTACTAGATTTAGTAGATGAATGTTATATTTAATGCCATGGTAGTAAATTTTATGGTTGCCTCGATTATCCAAGAATATGCTTGGTTATTGTTAACTAGAATGCTGGAGCAGCTAATTTAATGATCGATTAATTTGATTTAGATTATTTTATTTTCATTTACAAATATTTTAGCTAAAAATTGAATTCTTTTTGGATAAATTAAAAAAAACATATATCATATTTCACACTTTAAATCAGCATCTTTTACTTACACACAAAATATGAACATATAATTTGTGTCTTAGTTTATTGTAGTTCTTTAATTTTGAAATATATTTCAAATAGAGAATAAAATAATACGGAGATAAATAATTTAATAGGAACATGTCCATTTTAAGTCATATGTTCAAAATAAATCGGGAAGTTATATCCAAAAACATAATTTAGAAACATATTTTATATGGATTTCAACAAATATGTCTTACAAGAAACAACATAAAAAAATAAAAATTATGCAGAAAAATAATTAAAATGTTAATATCTTCCCTTTAAAAACCTCAACTAATTGCATAAAATTGTTAGCCAAAAACAAAATAAGAATAAAAATGTGTACCGTCCACTAAACAAACATATAAATGATCATATATTCCAAAAAATTAAAAATAAAAACCAAAAAGATAAAAAAAAAAACACATATCTCTTAAGCTCACAAAGAGAATTCAAATAACTATAAGACTCCAAAAAATAATAACATTAGATCATAAAAATAGTTTAGAAATTGCTTACCACGCATAATTTATGCACACTCCAATTGGAATAAATTAAATAAAAAATGCATCCATTAGAGACTCTTAATGTTTTCTACTAAGCGAATATCATACCATTTTACTAAACAAATACAAAACAATCAGCTTTAAGAAAAATAATTAATTGCATAAATGAACAATCACTTTTTAAATTTAAAAATAGATCTGTAATAAACAAAGACAAAACATTAAACTATAAAACAAAAATATTTTTTTAATATAGAAAAATAATTAATTAACATATCCACGCGTATCACACTCTAGTTAAAATATATAAATAAATGTTACTAATATGTTAGGCTTCTCTTTTTTTGGGTAGCAACAAAAAAATTTATGTGGCATTCTCCATCTTTTTTTTTGATTCACGAGTGACTTAAATTTAATATTATTTTCTACTTTTACAGCTTTTTTATTGGGTTATATATAATCTATAAAACAAATTAAAAACAGAAATTAGGAATAAAATTAAACACCCGTGAAATGTGATATTTTGTATAAATAATTATACTAGTGTAAAAATGTAACTTATATAGTAAAAGTGTCTCTTTAAAATTATCTACCACAAGGATAATTCTGTAATGGACACACCATGATGAATGGTTTTACCTGCACCATGTTGACATTTTTTTAACAAATTTACCTCCATTATTTGCAGAAATATTAAATCATTTAGAGTTGAAAATCTGATCTCTTGGTGTAAAATTTTGTTTGTCTGCAATATTTGCAGAAATATTGCACCATGTTGAAATTTTTTTTCATAAATTTGCCACCATTATTAGCAGAAATATTACATTCTTTGGAATTGAAATTCAGATCTCTTGATGTTGATGTAGAAATATTAAGCATTAAAGTATACATCTACATAAAGTCATAAACGTTGAAGCATAAATTTTTTTACTTTGTTACCAGTCAAGCGCATGTGCAAGCGGACGTATATTATTTTTCATAAAGTAAATTCCATCACTTCTGGCCACCCATACACGTGTCTGATAACATCGTGGTCCTTTCGCTCCTCTATATACTTGAACGTTTTTAGATCTAGACCCGTCCCTGAAGAGACATTTAATTATCATCCTTGTATATCTCTTCTGCTTCTCTATAAATGTGAAGTTCTTATTTTCACCAAATTTCAAATCCATCATTGTGTTATAATTTTTTCCAACATGGCAATGTATGTTTAGAATACGATGTGGAGTGAGTCCGTTGGAGAATATTACCGTGTTTGACGGGCATGCTTGCTTCAACTCAAAACACATAACAATAACTAACATAAAAACAATGAAATAGTTCATTTTTTCTCATTTAATTTTTAGAATAATAAGCATATCAGTGTTCTGTATTTATAGTTCTTTTGTGTGGATATTGTTTTTAGCATATAAATTTTTCTGGTTGTAATTTTAAACACAAATATGAACAAAAATGTATGGTCATACAATATTTAAGCGTCGGAATTTATGGTTAGCAAATAAGATCATAAAACCAAATTAATTTCCTTGGTCATATGAATGTTTAGCATCAAAAAGTAAGGTTGACCAATAAATAAAACCGTATATATATATATATATATATATATTTCTTACTAATTATAGTTCACAATAAAAACCAAAAAAAAATAATTGAAGAAGGCGTTATTTGTTTGTATATTTTATTTATTTAGAAATATATATAAAAGGTTTTCGCTTTGTATAATACATTGATTTCAAAAACTAACGTGTGGATTTCAGTTAATATTTGTAAATCCATAGATATTATTCATGTTTTTAAGTCTTTTTTTTAACTTGACATTAATTTTAAATCCATTAAAATCCAATGAATAATTATATATGTTCATAAATATTTAGTATTTAACAACACCTATTTAAACCTATTGTAAAATCATAGAACGAATATTAGAAAATTTTGATCAGGACTTTCCTAAACATGTATTTTTGGATTTACACGAAAAAAACCAAGTAAAATCCATAAGCCTATAACCCCGCTCAAGTCTAACAAAAAAAAATGAAGTGTTAAAATACTAAGAAATAAACTTATTAGTTGACAAAAATTGGAGTATTCTATTTTTTTAGTAAATAAATATTTCGCCTATTATCTTAGAATCTCAATCTTAACTACAAAATAAAAAATTATCAAATATATTTTTAATGTAGATATAAAAAACCTACAAAACAAGTCTTGATTCAATCAGTTTAGAAGTTCAGGTTTGGTCATATAACACATTTAGTATGTATAATACTACTCATCAGCTTTAAACGAGATTCAGAAGACTATCTCTTATAACTATATTAGGTGAATACATGCACGTAACATGCAGATTTTTCTTTTCAATTATTTTAAATTTATATTTTTTTTATTTTTATTTTTGTAAAATATAATATAATCATTATTTCTACTTGTTAGTATATTAATATAAACAATTATTTTTTAAAAAAAAATCAATTTTAAATATATATTGAGTATTATTAAGTAATCTAAAGTTATATAAAAAATAAAAAATATCCATCAATATTTTTAATTAGTTATAACATCGATTTTAACATTTACAGAAATATTATTTCAAAGTCAATTAATAAACAAAACTTTTCATTTTCTTTGAATGGTTTAAAACTTAATATTAAAATTTAATAAGTAATTTTTAAAATCTCATGCTTCGTATGTACATTGCTTCCTGCGTGGAGGCATCTGCAACAACAAAAACAAAGCAAGCACAACAAAGAAAAATCCAAGAATCAGCCAAAAATGAAATTCAAAAATTGGCAAGTTCAAGGATCTAAACATCATTAGCAAGAAATCCAGCACCACAATCATCAGAAATCGACCCTAAATCAGTTCTAAAACCCTTGCCGCGAGCAGTTTTCAAACCAAACTCATCATCAATGACCAAAATTTTCCAAAACCTGCCAACAGGTCTAATAAAGTGAATGGAGATGTCGAAAATTGCTCTATAACAACCTAAGAGGCAGGAAGCAAGCATTGAAACAAGCTGCAAGAGGCAAAATAGACAGTCTAAACCTTGAGTACCGAAATCAAAAAAGGGGTTTTCGAGTGTAATACCTGGAAATCGGTCAAATTGATAGAAGAAATAGAACCAGCACGAAAAACTAATGAGGTTTGGCTCTGGAATCACTCAAATCCGTGAAGAATTGAGGGAGTTAGAGTTTTAGGGTGTGGGAGCTTTGATGGTTTCGAGTGAGGCGAGGAAAAAGGAGATGGAGGGTGGTGAGGGTTTTAAAAGGGTTTAGGGGTACTTATCTGGATAAGTGGTGTCGACCCACACTCACACTGATAGTAGTGTTGCTTGACACAAAAACTTTACGTCCCGTGTTGGAGCAGATCTACCTGTTTTTCCTAATTATTATTATTTTTTTTAATTTTTTAGGTGACAAATTAGGTGTCGACTAAAACTAATGGTAATATCGTTCAACATAAAAACTTTGAATTTGCTACACCTAAAACATAAAAAAAAACTAAAAACGGAAACTAAAAGAAAGAAAACGACTTATGTACAGACTTACCAGGGGGTTGCATCCCACTAAGTGCTTGTTTTAAGTCATTAGCTTGACTTGACGGAAGTTCAGACAGGGGGTGCATCATCCATAGGCACTATATGCCCTTCCGGAATATCGGCTTTCGCTTAGTAGTGTTTCACCCTTTGTCCATTCATTGTGAATTCCTTGCCGTCTGAGCAGAACAAGACGATAGCACCATATGGTCTGACCTTCTTGATGGTAAAAGGACCTGACCAATGAGAACACAATTTTCTAGGAAACTATTGCAAACGAGAGTTATACAGAAGTACTTGGTCGTTTGGCTTAGGGTATCTGGAGAGGATCTTCTGATCATGATATGCCTTGGTTCTCTCCTTGTACAGCTTCGAGCTCTCATAGGTGTGGTATCTGATCTCATCTAGTTCGTTCATCTGAACCAAGCAGATTTTATGTCGAAGTTCATCATCTTAATCGCCCAAGCTGCCTTGTGCTTAATCTCCACTGGAAGATAAAATGGTTTCCTGTAAAGCAGATGAAACGGTGTAGTCCCAAGTGGTGTTTTGATCGCAGTTCTGTAAGCCCAGAGCGCATCATCCTACCTTGCAGCCCAATCCTTCCGAGTCTTGCCCACAATCTTCTCTAGAATCTCCTTGATTTGCCTGTTGGAAACCTTAACTTGTCTACTTGTCTGAGGATGATAAGGAGTGGCTACTCTATGATGCACACCTTGCTTCCTTAGTAGCTTCTCAAAGACCTTGTTAATAAAGTGAGAACCACGATCACTTAGAACAATTTGAGGCACTCCAAATCGAGGGAAGATAATGGTCTTAAACATCTTGAGAACCACCAAAGCATCATTAGTTAGACTAGCAATTGCTTCCACCCACTTAGACACATAGTCTACATAAACCAGGATGTACTTATTCCCATAAGATGAGGGAAAATGACCTATGAAATCAATGCCCCAGCAATCAAAAAATTCAACCTCGAGGATGAAGTTTTGTGGCATCTCGTGTCGCTTACTGATCTTCCTCTCTTCTGACAAACATCACACTGTGAGATGAAGATGTGAGCATCCTTAAACATTATAGGCCACCAAAAGTGGCTTGAAGAACTTTGGATACTGTTTTGAAGGTAGCAAAGTGTCCAGCATACTCTGACCCATGACAGTGAAACAGCACTTCAGAAACCTCTGATTCTGTAATACATCTTCTGTAAATCTCATCAGAGCAAAGTTTGTATAGGTAAAGGTTCATCCCAGTGAAATCTACTCAGTTCCCTTAAGAACCTCTTCTTAGCAACTCCCTTGAAGTTCTCAGGCTCGTCTTCTGCAGCAAGATAGTTTGCAATATTGGCATACCATGGTCGATTGGAAGCAGCCACAATAGCTGAACTCATCTCAGAAACACTATCCTGAACCTTCGACAATTCTGGGTTTGGCTGTGGTGAGTGTCGTGCGACACTAGTGATGGTGTTGATCGACACCAGTGTCTCGGGGTTAGTGTCGACCAGCACTGATGGTAGTGTCGCTGGACACCAGCCATTTCCAACTCGAAAAACCAGCAAATATTTGTCAAAACCACTGTGGAACCCAGTTTCAGTAGAGTAGACATTCTCTTCAGGTAGAAAATTGTCAATGGGAACGTCTTCATCGACCTTTATCCGCGAGAGAATGTCAGGAACTCCATTCTAAACACCTTTCTTTTCCTTCACCTCAATATCGAATTCCTGAAGGAGGATCCATCGCAGTAACCTTGGTTTCGCATCCTTCTTCTACATCAAGTATTTAAGACAAGGATGATCTGTATGCACTATCATCTTGGACCCTACCAGATAAGGACGAAACTTCTTGAATGCAAACACTACAGCCAACAACTCTTTCTCAGTAGTCGCTGATAGTAAGAACTTTTAGGTTCAAACCCAATTACTCAAACTACTCATATCATTGTAGTGTTTGAGGTATCAATCCAAATGGAGATGTCTAGGCACTATAACTATATGGAACTATTCTTAATCCAAGTCTAATGAAACAGGTTGGTAACCAATATGATCTAAAACATAAAACAAGCAAGAACAAACAGTAATTAAGAACAAGCAAACAAGAGAAACTAAACAAAGACTCAAATTAAAAATAAGATAAAACTAAACCTATAGATGTGATCATTGATCAGGGTGCTTTAAATGTTAATTCATGATGTTAAGCAAACAATGCATTACTTGCAATTCTTTAGCCTAGACTTATAAATCAGATTAATTCACTCTCATTTTGTTAATTACCTAATCAAGACTAATTACCATTAGAGAATTAGCAATTAACACGCATAAGGTTCCAAACCTAATATGACTAAACAGCCTCTTTGTGCATCAAAATAAGAACTAAGATAGACTGAATTTTTTGAACAAAAAAAGATAGATTGAATTTTTTGAACAAAAAAGATAGACTGAATCTTATATAGAAAGATAAAGCAAGCATCACATGATCTCAAATTCCAATCAACTTAGAACTCAAATCTAGACTAATCATTTCCCAAGATATTAATCTCTATACTAATCCACTTTCAAACCTAATTTCCATTAGTGAAATATAAATCAGTATGCATTAATAAACAGTTATAACATGTCATTTATGCTTCAAACAAACATTCCCATGGCATTCAAAACATAAACCCTTAAGTTAGCTCATTCAGACATTTCATACAACACCTTGTGGGTGGAGAAATGCCTAAGTTCTAGATCAAGCTTATAATGAGAGATCTAGCATTGTAGTATTTGAGGTATTTGAACATTTAGGTTCAAACCCAAATACTCAAACTACCCATATCATTGTAGTAATTGAGGTATCAATCCAAATGGAGATGTCTAGGCACTATAACTATATGGAACTATTCTTAATCCAAGTCTAATGAAACAGGTTGGTAACCAAGATGATCTAAAACATTAAACAAGCAAGAACAAACAGTAATTAAGAACAAGCAAACAAGAGAAACTAAACAAAGACTCAAATTCAAAATAAGATAAAACTAAACCTCTAGATGTAATCATTGATCAGGGTGCTTTAAATCTTAATTCATGATGCTACGCAAACAATGCAACACTTGCAATTCTTTAGCCTAGACTTATAAATCAGATTAATTCACTCTCATGATAATAATCATTTTGTTAATTACCTAATACAGACTAATTCCCATTAGAGAATTAGCAATTAACAAGCATAAGGTTCCAAGCCTAATGTGACCAAACAGCCTCTTTGTGCATCTGATGGGAGCAAAAGCGGGGTTGTTGTTTTCGTTTTACTAAGCTTCAGGTTTTAAATTTATAACCCCTAAATGTCTGCAAGTGTGCGCTGTAGTACTTAGGGTATCGATCCACATAGACTTAGTTGTTTCAGTACGAATTCACGGTAATGCTTAAATCAGATTAGAACTAAACAGGTTTGGGTTTTGGTTTTGGGTTTTGGTTGTCACGAAATCTAAACTAGAAATCAAAACAAATAAAAGCAATTGAAAAACGAAAGCAAGTAATACAAGTAAAAAGCGAATAAATCAAAGGCGAATGGAAGCAGGTAATAAGCGAATGAAAAGCAAGTGAATTCGAAGATTGTAAGCAATGGAAGACAAACGTTGGGGGCTCAAGGGGTTTTGCAGGGATTCATGGACTAGGCTGTGTTGATTTTAAACAAGTGATAAAGGTAATCAACTATGTATGTTCTAGAACTCGAGGCACGGAAGTATGAATAGCCTATTTTCGCAGCACTAAACAACTATCTCTCGCAACCCTGATCAGTAGGTTTCCACTCTGATTCTGGAAGGGAGAAGATGCAATAGCAGAAAAAACTCATCAACATTCACAACTCAACTACAGGTAGGTTTCCACTCCTATAGAACTATTGCTCATTTCACCCTAATTCAGACAATCAATGAAAGCTTTCGCAACACATCATATCAGATCGGCTTCTAAGTGGCCAGGAAAGAATCAAACAGTAAAATCAAAGGCAAACGAAGAACATCTAGAAGATTAATAATCCTAAATCTATCGATTCATAAGAAAAGACACACAAAATTCCCTTTGAACAATCCCTTTAAACCCAACTGGGTAACTACTCAAACATATTGTAAACAATCATCACAGAGTATTGAAAGTTGCAGGAAATTAAAAAGAACATGGAAGAAGAACAAAGAACGGAATCGCAGATGGAGGCGCGATGGTCACTCCTGCAGCGGCTCCTCTTCGAAGACGGTGGCTCCTTATCTCTAGGGTTACACGAAATTTCTCTCTCTTTCTATCTTATATCGTCTACACACCTTTAGGAATGACCTAAATGGGGTATTTATAGCTTGTGGGGTGGTTCTGGACACTTAGTGCTTCAAAATAACAAAAAGAATTGATCTGGGCTTTAATTAAGTCGTCTGGAAAGTGAACGACTAATGTCTGTGGTCGCAGTGCTCCTACCCACGGGGAAATAGGTGTTGGCCGCGGTCCCGGCTTGTGGCTCTCTTCCGGAACTGCATTTTCTGTCATTCTTGCATCGGGAGTATCTGAAGATCTAACCGTTGGATTGTCTCCACACCAAGTGAATTAGAAAGCTGGTTGGATCCTCTATGTTGTCTCAAATTTTGGGGGTGATCAGATGGTGAGAAGGTCTTCATTGCTTGCCATACTTCTGACGGTCTGCATTTATCCAAAATTGCTCATTTGTTCCAAATTACATATCTTTTGCCCAAGTTTCCTGTAAAGTCTTTTGAAACTCTAAAACATTGAAAAAACTTTAAAAACCATTGAAAACAGAGTTAAAACACCTGCATAAGACATAATTATGATCCATAAAAGTGGTCAAAATACGGTGTTATCAACTCCCCTAGACTTACCTTTTTGTTTATCCTCAAACAAACTTAAGTCAGGAAAGAAATTTTTAAAATCGCAGGAACTAAACAATATTTCAGTGACCGTTCTTATAAACCATAACTTATCGTGAAACATCTATTTGGATAAAGTCTAGAAAATTCTCACCAAAATACAAGCAAACTAGTCCGTTAATCCGTCATGCGAAAATCTACACATTTAGATCTAACTTCCAGTCAACTAGTTCTCTACATTCATTAAGTATATTGTGAGTTCTCATTAAAGACATTATTCAGGGTCGACGGCGTTTGGTATTAAGGGCTTTTTAAGTGGTGGAGTTTAAGTATTTCGGGTTACCTGAAGAATATGGAGGGTGCAAGATATTATGCAAAACCGCAAGAGAGAGAAGGACCTGTTGATGACCGCAGATTTTCAGTCACTTCTCCTTTGCCAAATGTTATTGCATAATCTTCCTCTTTTGTTGTAAACAGCTGTTCCCCCATACTTAGATCTTTTCCGGGAATCATAAAGATAATCTCCAAAACTCCATATAATCGAATCAAGCTTGCCTCAAGTATAAAATTTGATCCTCCTAAACTCTCTAAGGTCTTAAATGTCCTTTCCTTTCTTTTTTTCGGTGTTATTTTTCGAAAGGGGAAATAACCATTTATAGAGAGAGAGTCTAAGGGTCAAAATTGTACCAAGATTTTGAAGTTTTTCCAAGGCAAACTGAGTTTTCTCCTTTTGTTGAATCATTCCAATGAAGCCGCAGGTCTTCGTCTTCAGTGACTGAAAACCGCGTTGATCCTCTTACTCTCCAATGTTTTTGCACATATCTGTATATAGGACAATGAAAAACAAGAGTGCATGTGGTTTGAAAGAGGTTAGGTTCGGTGGGGAACTAGCTAAAGATGAACTAGCCATTCAGGATCAACAAAGTGTGGTAAAAGGATAAAGGAGTCCTGAATGTATGATTTGTTTCACTGATCTAATGCTTTAATGAAAAAATTAAGTCAAAATTAAGTCCAGATTAAATGAGCTAGTGTATCCTGTCAGAAGGAATCTCCATGAATAGAAGTCGTCTGGTGGGATTTCGTAATGCAAGTATTCTAGCTACCGCCTAGTCTAGGCCGAAATCACAAAAAGAGAAAAACGAGGAAATAGCGTAGAAGCACACTGGTATAAATCATCATAGTATTGTTTATTGTGTTCCTGGTTTGAAAAATTTTTGAAAAACATTTTGAAAATGATTTTTGAAAAATTTTATGAAGAATTTTGAAAAACTTTTTGAAAAAAATTTATGTGTCCAAAACAAACTCAAAACAAATCAAATTTCATTGGTAACGGATGAACATCCTCCCCCAGACTTATTTCACACTGTCCCTAGTGTGATAAATCTTGGAAAGAATGGTAAAGAAAGTAGAAAAGTTGAAATGTTTAAGAGTACTTATCGTGCTGGAGAGTGCTGCTCGTCTTTTGTGTTTGTTCTTCCTTAAATAAAACCTGAAATTAAATGAAACAGAAACCAAGCAATGGAAATAGAAAATAAAGGTCAAAGGAAAATAAATAAAATACCAAGTGGGTTGCCTCCCACTAAGCGCTTGTTTCAAGTCGTTAGCTTGACATTGTTGTTCGATTAGACTTAACCGGGGTCGTGACACTCCTTGACTTCATCTTTGGCAGAGGATGGATCAATTAAAAACATCACCTCTCTCTCGTCTTCTCTTTCTTCAGCCAGACATGGTGTTGTTCATTCATTGTAAATGAGTTTCCAGTTTTGTCCCACAGCACGATGGCTCCGTATGGCTTAACTTCCTTTATCGTGAAGGGTCCTGACCATCTTGAACGTAACTTTCCTAGAAAACGCTTAAGATGGGAATTGAAAAGAAGAACTTTATCGTTAGGAGCAAAAGTTCTATGAATAATCTTCTTATCATGATATGCTTTTAGTATTCTCCTTGTAGATCTTCGAGTTTTCGTAAGCATTGTATCGAATTTCTTCTAACTCGTGAAGTTGAAGTAGTCTTCTTTCTCCAGCTGTTTTCATGTTCATGTTCATCTCCTTG